GAAATCAGCAAAATTCAATAAATATTGCATTAGATATAATAAATATAATAAAAACTGTTGATAGCAAAAAATTATTAGCAATGATTACAGACAATGCATCTGTAATGAAATGTGCTTAGAAAATAGTAGAAAAATAGTATCCTTTTATGATTTTTATAAGTTGTTTTGCATATGGCTTAAATCTACTTGTGAATGATATTATGAAACTTGATTAGGCTAAAAATATTATTACAAGTAATAAAAAAATTGTTAAATTTTTGGGGAATTTACAGATAAGGGCCCAAAAAACGAAAATAATTACAAATAAGGGCCCAAAATGAAAAATAATTACAGATAGAGGCCCGATATTTGAAAATTATTACAAATAAGAATCTAAAATAATTAGAACCTATGATTTAAGCCCCGTTTCGATGATTTAACGCATATAACAAACACCATGTCAAATACAAAATTACCAATCGTTATGATTTTAACTAATATGAAAATGCACATTCGGTCTTGGTTTTTATAAGTTCAGAACGAACAAACAAAATAAGCTGTTGGCTATTTATTTACAAATGAAACCACTTCATGCCCTTTTACTATTTTAGTTAACAAGTATAAGATGGCTATATATATATAGTAAGGCTGATTCTTCATGTTTCAGCTTGTTTAACTTCTATGGGAGTATTCGATCGTACCTTGTAAAGTTTACTGCGTCATTAGTTAAAGATATAGCAGTACTTCAACCTCATGATATTATAAATCGTGCTCGTTCTGAAGTGGGGGTTAGACATCATACACTATAGCTTGGAGAAGTAAACTATTAGGCCACACATAGTTAATTTTTCGTTTTGCATTGCAGGATTTCAAAATTCTGTCAGTTGGTTGGATTTTGTTTTTTAATTCTGAATAATGAGCTATAACTCTAAAACATCTATTTAACCACGAAATGAAGCAATTAATCATGATACCATTACATTTAAATCGGCTAGTAATATTGACGGTATATTTGGGCCCTTATTTGTAATAATTTTTAAATATCGGGCCTTTATCTGTAATTATTTTCATTTTGGGCCCTTATTTGTAATTATTTTCGTTTTTTGGGCCCTTATCTGTAAATTTCCCCTAAATTTTTTCGTGACTACCATATACTAAAATGATATCAAGTAGTACAATACAAAGATAAAAAATTACCTTGTAAATTCCTGTTAAAACATATTGGGATTAGCTACAATTTGTGTAAATTCTGTATTGTTGAATAAACTTGCTTTAAGATTAAGTTTAACAGAGCTTAAACAACATATGACTGCTAAAATTAATAAAAATATTGCATCAATTATTCATGATGAAAATTATTAGAATAAAGCTTTTTATTTAGTAGAAATCTTAAAAAGTCTAGTTAATAACATTGCTGCATTTGAAAGTGATGATTCAAAATTATCTCAATGCTGAGAATAGATTTATCACTTGCATAATTTAAAACATATGTATATATCAAATATATATTATTGTTATTAGTACATACTTTAATTATTATATTAACTGATTTTATATAGAGATTCACAATTTATATGCATATATTGAGCTTAATATGATTCTTAAAAATGTTGCAAAAAGTTATATCATCCAGTAATGAAAATTGTCTATCTTTTTGACACACAACTTGTTGCATAATACTTACTACTTTCAAGTATTACAACTATATTAATATTTATATTAAAATATTATCCACTTAATTCAGCAAATATTTGAAGTCAATTAGTACAATACAAGGCACAGGATGGAATTTTTAATAACTCATTAATTTGGAATTTATGATTAAAGCTTGCACCAACTACATAGTGGAAAGGAAACTACAGCTCTGTTGCATCTGATCTATATAAAGTAGCACTTTGAATTCTAATAATTCTAATATCTTCTGCTGCCTCTATCTGAAAATAAAGAATTAATGAATCTTTATAAAAGTGATAATAAGCTAGTAAATTTGGATAAAAATAATAAAAGCAATGAAAATGAATAAGATAATAATTAAAACATTTTATGTAAAAATTGACTTAACTATTTTAATTTCATAAAAATATCATTTTAGAGCTCCATTAACACCTCAAATACAAAATTTTAAAAAATATAATGTCACGGCTGATGCTGGAAATGGCTGAAGCTGGAAATCAGGGACCCTGATTTAAAAATATAAACCCTGCCAAAATCTACTTATACTCTTTCATTATAAAAACTAACCCTAAATCCTAATCTAACCATGAAAAAAAAGCTAAAAAAATGCACCCCAAAAAATTTTGAAAATTTCATAATAAAATATTTAAAATTTCCAGCTTCAGCCATTTCCAGCTTCAGCCGCAACATATAATATTAACAATCAATTTATTTAGTGTCAATTTGAATATAGCTAACTCTCAGAACAATATTAATTTTAATTCTTATTACTTGAGAACTATAAATTATTTGTCATCAACTTGCGAAGACATAGCTAAAACAAAAAAACATTCTTATATAGCCTTTTTTTTTTTTTTTTTTTTTTTGTTAAGTGGCATCTTGCCTATATGTCTTTATTAATTAGTAACATATATAGTAGTCTATTAACAAAAGTACAACTAGCCACACGAATAACTTTAGTCATTATCTAATTATAGGTTCCGCCCGTAAGTTACCCACTAGATGCCATATCTAAGACCCACCTCTGAGTCCCTTATTTAAACTTTCTGATCTTCAACACTATTTGTATATATGCAATACTTTATATTACCATTTTTGTGACATATTAGGTTAGGGGCTGTTGATACTATTTATATCAGAGTAACACCTCATTAGATGTTGCTATGTATCCATAGTCCTATATGTTACCCTCAACACAAACTACTAAGTAAGGTACCAAGATTACTGTCTTAGATTTTTATCCAATTTCAGTGTAACCCATATCCAATAAAACTAATATTTGTATCAGAGATGTTCGAATTTCAGTAAGTTCATTCTTTTCCCATAGCTTCCTTTTATATTCACCATATCATCTACTAGTGCACCTTCTCTTCATTTTTGGTATGTTCACCACTTCTCTCACATCGAGCGCCAACTCTCCATATTGGGAGGCTTTTTTCTGAGAACTTCCTTATATACCAATCTTCTATTTATATGGACTTAGCCACAGGGCTTCGCGTACATTCATATGCTTCTATAGATTACAGAGTTTTACCTCCAGCTGGAATTGAGCCATTGACCTTGTCTGTGGAGGAAGGGTGCCTAGACCACTAGGCTACAGGACTCCATCCTCCTTATATAGCCTTTTTAAATTATAAAAAATATTAACTGAAGTTATTATTATAATTTGAATATATTTGTACTAACATAAATATAAAAATTAAATCACTTTGATTTTGGTAAATAATTTTCAAATAAACTAAATATTTCAATTATCTATAAGTATATAAATAAAGGTATTATGCTTTTCACTAAAAATTTATAATATAACTCAACTTATATAAAATTGTATGTTTTGCGTGATATAACCTTATACAAGGTATATAAATATATACTATGTTTACTTTGCACAAGTTACATCTCTATGTTTAGCTATATAAATATACTAACTTTACCTTTATCACTTTAGCAGATTTTTGTCTTATTACAATCATTTAAAAATATAGTTGAATTTTTTATTATAGTATTTAGAATTATACTAACTAAATATGTATTTTATCATTCTATAAAAACACAAAATCTTGAACTGCACCACAAATATCAAATATCACATGACATTTTAACACATATTTGTGCTTACCATTATAAAAAACCATAGATCTGTATGATTCAAAATTAGAACAAATCATTTTAATTTAAATTTTTTTTTTGATCCTCTACTAACAGTGTGTTCTATTTCTTATTTTTTTTTATTAATATCAATTAGTAAACAAATATAATGGTTAACAAAAAAACTCTTACAATTGGTTATTTGTCTCATTTTTGCAGTAATCACAAAAAGATCTATTCACATCATATATTCTATAAATCGAGAATAGTAAATCTAATTTTGATGCTGCAAACTTAGTATCTAATTTAAGATAGCATAAAATGAATTAGTCATTAAAATATAGCTATTAAATGATACCAAATATCAAAATATTACTGATATTTCATAAAGATTAATTTATTTTTAATAATTTTTCTTTTAAATAAATACTAAAAATATTAGCATTTGTTTAAGCCCAAATTATCAAAAAAGCATTAGACTATTGGAGCATCACTGATTACTGTGATCCATTATCTACAGTCAAACCTGTCTGAATGAATACTATATAAATGAATATTCTATATAAATAAATATAAAATCTCAGATCCAAGTTGGTTATTAAAGCTAATTGCATAAATTGCTTAACTGAATAATGCATAAAAAATTTTCAATTTTATTAGTAAAAATTTCATAAAAATTATGATATCTGAATATCTTAAACTCAGGGTTGTCACTTGGGTTAGTTCAGTCCACTGGAACACGTGTTCCAGTTCAGTCCAGTCCATTGGACGGTCAGTAGCTGGACTTAGATAATCTAGTCCAATTGTAGTCCAATAAATATTAAATAATCGAAAGCCATAATAAACATTTACTACCTTTGATTTATTATTTTTATTATTTTTTTATATATTATATATTTATTTTATGGCCAGACCAATTTAATTCAGTGGTTTACATTACATCCTTCTCGCAAAAGAGGGGGGGGACCGAAAATGGAATTTATTATAAAAATTTTCTCTGAAAAACTCCGTATTATTATAAAAGGGTTCCGAAATTTTCCGCACATATAGTGAGGGTGGAAAATTGGAGGGGGGGGTAATGTAAACCACCGAATTAAATTGGTCTGGCCTATTATAAAATTAACTGCTTCTTACAGTATATCTCAATGTTATAATATAAAGTTGTGCTATCGAATATACTATTTTGTTGTAGCCAAATATAGCAATTGTTATGATAAGTTATTTGAGCTAGAAGCAAATTTTATTATTCAAAAGTTCAGATGTCAAAAACCGTGGGTACTTTCGAGTTAACATATGTACGTGTGGCTAAATTGCACAGTACATAGTGCACTTACTCAGGATATGAAGCAGTAATCAGTAATTAAATCAACGAATAGATAATAATAATAATAATAATAATAATATGTGTATTGACATATTTCGGCATTTTTGGATGCTGAAATAAATTACGTCGCCATCGATATAGGTCAGATCATAAGATTGGGGGCATAAATTAGTTAAATCAAATTAGTAAGTGATGCATAGAAAATGGCGTGATTAGAGATTAACTAAAAAGTCAAATGTGCGTGATCGAAATATAATTCAAAGTGAATATAGGTAAAAAGCGTAAATAAAGAGATAATAAGTGCTTTTCTTACCAAACATCCTATTTTCGAGTTGAGATACTTGCCCCGCAGGTATTAGCAATAGCTCAAATAAAAGGTGTAATAAATCAAGCACATCGAAACCATAAACTTGCAACTACTACATTATATGAAACTGATGAAGGTACAACTCAAGAACCAGAAGAACTGACAAATATTATTAAATAAGAACAAGAAACTGATAGTGAAAATGAATTTCAAGTATTGACTGATCAAGATTCTGCAGATCCAACTAAAAATAATTTAGAAAAAGCATTGAGTTTATAGAGATCTATGCTTGAGGATGAAAAATTGTATAATTGGAATGAAGAGATAACTGACTCATTACTTAATGCCGAATTATCATCTGATATTCTCTTAGATCACGAACACCCTTAAAGAGATAAACGTACAAAATGATTCTTGATGAGCCATTTATTAACAAATAAATTTTTATCTTTGTTGTTATCTGATGATTTATTGATCTAAACTATAAGGATTTGGTATTATAAATTTTTTTTTTACTTTTTATTTTTATTTTATTTTATTTGTTATTTTATTTGTTTTTTAATCGTAAAAAGATATTCGGAATGTATATTAGAAATCTTGCCTCGATTAACGTAATTAAAACTTATTGCTATCGCAAAGGATCTTTATCTTATAAGTGATACATGCTTAAATAAGCCTGACCAATTTGTTGACCTATTAAAAGTGAACCAATAAGGTCCATTGGACTGGACTGGACTGGACTTATTCCAATCAATTAACTGGACTTTGTCCAATGACAATAAACTGCGCCATTTGGACTGGACAAAACAACTGGACTGGACTTATACGAATTCCAGTCCAGTCCAGTCCAGTAACTCGTGAGAGACTGGAATAAGTCCAATGACAACCCTGCCCCAGACCCTGTCGTCCTTGGACAAAACGTAACTTTTGATATTTTTGCAACTGTAACTGATGATGTTGGGGATAATGGATCTGTTGTAGTGGAGTTTTTTGACTCAGATGATGATTCTTTACTAAGTCAACCATTTGGTCTTCCTTCGGGCATTAAAGCTAACAGCGCAATTAATGGTACATTTTCAATACCAGTGAAACTTTCAAGTTTACCAAAAGGATTCTTTATACAAATTACTGTTTTGTCGCATACAAATGGTGGTCCATTTAAAGAAGTTGCCTGTGCAATAACCTCTTAAGGCAAAGACCTCATATTGTTACCGAATTTTTGGCTTCTTTTTTATACATATATTTAATTATATTTGTTACACCTTTTTAGTTTATTTTATTTTATTTTAATTTTTTGTACTCCTTAAATATTACTAAAAGACATAGTTCATAACAAAAGGGTATATGTAGATTTTCATAACAAAAGGATATATGTAGATTTTAGTGTGGTTTATAATTTCAAACCAAGACATTAAATTGCAGCACAGTATCATTTCTGGTGTTTTATTATCACATTAATACAGATATTGTTACCCGTTTTAAACTTAAAAGTGTTTTCATTGGCCTTTAAGTCCTGACTTTAATATTTGTTAACATTTTAATGAGAATGGCTTAACCAAATAAAACTGTCAGTATCATTCATTTAAACACAGAATTATCAGCCATTTGCGATTTATAGAATGTAGGTGTGATCAATTGTTTCTTGTTATCACTTTACTAAAAGTATACTAAGTAAGATTAAGTAGCGACGTAATGATCAAGCATATGAAATATGATAAAATTATCAATTATACCGTTCTAATAAATCGAGAATCAATAAATTAACCAATATAATACATGGGCCTTTGCCTTGAAAATCACCTTACGACATTTCCGATCGGAAAATGCCGTAAGGTGATTTTCAAGGCAAATTAAGCAGGAGGGACCGTCCCAAATCTGGAGGTCGTCTAAAGCCAGGTGCGTTCACGTGACTTACAACCAATCAAGGCGTAAATTTTGATTTACCCGACGAGACAAAAACAAAGAAAAAAAATGAAAAACGTGAGAAATACGAGAAACGAGTATCTAAACCTGCCTCGGGGCACTAATAAAAAAGGTCGGGAAGACAATTTTACCTATAAGCCTTGCCCTAACCTTAACCCCTAATTAACCCTTACCAAATAATCAAAAACATATAAACGCACCGGGCTTTAGCCATCCCCCAAATCTGGAAATGATTATCCTATTGTTACACAATTGATAAACGATTTTTTTTATACATGTTATAATACTTTTTTAAAATGCTCGGGTAGATTAACTTTCTATAAAACGCGAGTAAATAAACCGGATGAATTAATGCTTTTACCTCGCCTTATAATATATTCGTTTAATCCCCGTTAATCCCACAGCCTTTTTCTTGCGATCTGATTGGCCGATTGGCTAAAATTCACTATACGATTGGTTGACAACTTTGTGTAACCATATCGGAATCATTTCCTAATTCGGAACGGTCCCTCCTGCTGGCAAATTACCGTAATTTTTCGTAATTTATGTAATTTTGCAGTAAGTTTCTGTAAATCATTCTTCACGTAATTTGTAATTTTGAGCACATAATGTATGGCTTCTGTTAGTGTTCCGCAAAAGATCCGGTCCGTCCGCCCCTTATTGAGATCCGCCCGGTCCGGTTCAAAGTTATAAGCTAGCTTTTCTGATTGGTCAAAATGTTTAGAAATACCGGACCGGATCCAAGTTTTGGATCCGATTCGTTCTTCGGACCGGATCTGGATCTTTAAAAATATCCACCGGTCCGATTCATGCGGAACACTAGCTTCTGTGATTAAATTTTTGGCGATTTGAGGAGTTAAATTTTAGATTAAATATTCAAATCGAATGATAAACTAATGTTGGGCAAACTTTTGTAAAGTTGGTACTTTATATAACATGATAAAAATTGCATAAAATTTGGTTTACTGAAATTTACGTAAAATATATATATTGTAAGATTGTAACTTTTGTAACATAACCCCAATGGTATAGGTGAGCAAATCCGTATAGTACAGGCCAATTTTTAAAATCATTACCATTCTGATCATTGGACCTAACTGCCGCACAAATTTTTTCACGGCAGTTTCTTGGTTTTGATTGGCTATGAGCGACAATAAAAATTTAGTCCGAAGATTTTGCTGATGAAATCACAATCCTGGGCTAATTTTCATCATCTGCGAGCCCATTTCATAAAATTTCTATTTTTGGAATGAAAAAAAATTATGTAAACAACAAGAATAATCTTATGTTCGAATTCGATGAGTAAATACATGTATTCCTTCTAAATATATGCCACTACCTCAAAACGCCAATAGAACTGGAATACAAATATGAATTACATGATCGAATCGACCAAAATGTCGAAGAGCATGTTCTTATGGGCAGAAGTTTCTCTAATTTACCAGTGTAAATCAACTACCGAAGTAACTATTTTATATGTCTTACAGTACATTTTGAGAATGTAATTCCACTAATAAACAATTCCTTCAAATATTATTTGTAGCTTTGGTATGTGTCAACATTCACTGCATAAAGAATCAACCTCCCGGAAAACCTAGAAAGCAAACCTATTCTCTGTCTATTGAACTACGTACACAACATTAACTATATGCTTTAAACGGTCAGTCAATCAAAGTAAGCAACCAAGAATGTTTTGCTAAAGGTTAGTTATGAAATCGTATCCGAATGAAAATTAACTGTTTAAATATTAATAAAGTTGCCGCAAAGCTTTTTAAGGTAAATATTATATATAATCATAAGAAAAACTTTTTTTGAATTAAGTATTTTTAATTTCTAATGAAATAATAATGTTCGAACTAGGCACAAATAAAGGATTTCATGCAATTATAAACTTAAGATTGAATAATTGGGCTTAATTGAATTTATTGGATTCTTATTGATCATATATATTCATAGATACTAAGTTGTATAATGTTTCTTTTTTATGTTCTTTCACATCCTATACATATATCTACATATCTTTTTAAATGTATTTTGTAAAACTTTATAGAGACTACTTATGTTAAGCAACAAGGATTTCAATTTATATTTGACAAATATTCTAGTGGTAACATAAACGAAAGAAATAATATTAAAATTATTATAATTCCGCTAATATCTACTCCTACTCTAACGTAAGTTTTCATCTTAACCTAATGAAACTCAGTATATAGTCGTTTGTATAAGAATTTAGTGAATAAATTTTATTTCTATGTAATAAGATCTGTATTGAACTCAAAATGTACATATTTTATAAAAGTAAGTCTATATTGTTTATAGAACGTTTAAAATCTCTTTATTTCTTATAGCTACTATCTTCGCAAATTTTGTATTATCTATATTCCTTATGCTTTATATGCCAAGCGACACGTATAGCATGGTTACTTCTTTTGAATTTCTGGGTGTAATGATAATTATTTAGTGAATTAATTAGCATAAAAACTTTTAGATTCTTTACTAATCTGAAATATTTCATATTCATCCACTGAAAAATTTGATACATTATTTTCGTATGTAGACGCATCTCTAATTTGATTTTCATATGCATATGGACGATTCCAACAGTTACGGTCTTGATTAAAATTATTCAACATAATTAAATCACATCCACGAAACCATAAGTGACTACCAAAGGCTGGTCCCCATGAAGGAACACTACAAATCGCACTGTCCGGTCTTTTTACACGACTTAAAATAGATTTTCGAATCGTACCATTTTTCAATGAGAAAATAAAGCTATCATTGCACTGTTTAGATATCCCAAGCACGGAATCTGTTGCCTCCCACCCAATGGGGTTATATCCACCAAGAATTTCATCAGTACCCTTAACTTTCATAACTACAACAAGATGTGTTTGCTTATTACATAATTTCCAAAATGATTTAGCAGTAAAGCCATCTCTAGTTCCACGAAGAAGTAAATTAAATTCGTATGGATAATTTGTTGCAGAATATGCATTGGCTTGTTTATCAACCCATGAAGCAATTTCTGCTGCATGTACTTCATTAATAATTGTTGAAAATGGTTCAGTAATTCTAGTTGGTAATGTTGGTGTTAAAATTATACGAGATGGGAGAACTTTTGAAGATATTGGTTCATTTGGGGTCATGAATTTTTTCATTATATCATTCCAAAGATTTTTTTCAAGAATTTGATGATATGGTTTTACATTGTTAAAAGTATTATGGCCAGACATTTGAAAATAACGGATAAGAGGTAAACAACTGTGTAGAGTAGTCTTTAAGGCAAGAAAATTTTCATGGGTCCAATTTTCGGGGTCTGACGGTAAGCCATGGTTTTGAGAAATTCCCCATTGGATAACACGATCCCAAATTTTTACTTTTCCATTTGTAAATCGTCTCGACTAATAAGAGAGATTAATGCGTTTTCTTGAAGTGAAACGAAATCTTCAGAATCAAAAATCATGTCAGGATATTTTACTACAATGTCATTACACCATTTTTGTAATGCTTGAAGCTTATTATTCTGAAAACTTTTTTGATAAATAGAAGTAAAATGTAGACG